AGGCCTGAAAGGCCTATGAAGCGGTATATAAGTCTACTGCTATTGCTATTGCTATTAAGTTGCAGATATCTCTGCATTTGAAGATATTGACAAACTAGATAAATATGTTATACCATTGGGGAGATTAAAAAATAACAATAATGGAGAAAGACAGGTAAACAGACAGCACTGTGACTGCAGAATTGAAACTCTGCTTCTTTTTCATTGTGCTGTATATAAAATGCAAATTGAAAAGGATTTCAATCGCACAGTGGCTGGGCACTTTATTTTTAAATAAGTCCACTTAAAGTTTCAAAGGTTGAGAAACACTGAGCTAGACAGACAGATTACAGTAATCGAGAAACTGAATTCCATAAATCTAAATTGGCACCATGCTGCAAATATTCCAGATGACAACTAGGTGGCAACAAAGAGTCAAGGACTCTGCCTCTCTATGCTGCCCTCTGATGGTCATCCAAAGCTTTGCAATCCCTGGGATTTCTAGCAAGGCAAAGAGAACATCCAGAGAGTCTCCGATAGAGGCTGACTCTGTGTTTCTGTCCAGGTTCATCTGGCATCTCTGCGGGGTGCCATGCCCCACCTGAGCCATCATTAGGTGGGTAGGGCTGGCATCGTCCAGCTGAGCATGTACAACTGCAGCCAACCAGATCGGAGTGCCACTCTTCCCTCCAGCTGCCTCAAATTGGTACATTCCAAAGTAAGAACCAGTTTGGTTTAGTGGTGAAGGCATCAATCTTAAAAACCAGCGCGGGCCATATATTCTAGTCCCTCTTTAGGCATAAAGCCATCTAGGTGACTTTAGGCCAGCCCCTTTCTCTCAGCCCTAAGAAGGAGATAATGGCAAACCACTTCCAAAAAGACCTTGCCAAGAAAACTGCAAGAACTAATCCAGGCAACTGCCAGAAAATTATATGTAGTTCACGGTTAAAATGTGGATTCCTTGGTGCTCTCTGAGCTTCTTTGTTTTTATTCAGATGTTTCAATACACAATTAGATAACATCAACACTCTCTATTTACATCGTTGCTTGTCCTGACAATACTGGTGGGAAGATTATTTTCTTCCTGGCAATTCCTTGATTAGGGTATTGTTTTCTGCCNTTTTTTGTTTCCTTTCCTTCCTTTCTTTTCCTTTTTTCCTTTCCTTTCCTTCTCCTCCTTCCCTCCCCTCTCCTCATCTCCCCTTCCCACACCTCTGCAGATTTTCAACAGGAACCTTGGCAGGCCACTAAGACAAACCAAGAATAGACAATCTCTTTGTGGCTGGTTCCACTAACCAATGCTTTTAAGCAGTCACGACACAGGGTGATTATCTGAATGCCACCTCTCCCTTGCGGGTCCCGGCTCTGAAAAGCCCTTCCTGAGTTGGCAGGGCTCCTGGGCACCCCGAGACCCTGTCGACGCCTCCCAACCACCCCAAATGCGGCTCCACGGTTCGGGGTGTTTTGTGTGTTGTCTGAACACCGTCAATGGCCGTTTAGCGTCTTCCACAAACACCACGAATCCAACGCTGGGGTCGGCCACTTTGCTCAATAAAACCCCATTCTTTGGGCTTTTCTTTCACTCTGCTCCAGACTCCAGGGCTGAAAATAGCTGTGGGGCTGAAAGGAAGGGGGGGGGGAATTGTGGTTCAAAGGGGGGCCTTTTTCCATCCCCCTCACCCCCCCCGGGTGCATGGCTTTCATCGTCCGCCTATTATTATTTTTTTAAATCTGCCCAACGAAGCCGTAAAAAGTAGCTTTTTCTTTTGGGCTGTGGGGCTGCATTGGCTGCCGAGAGGGGATTCGCCTTTCCCACCAGTGAGAAGACAGCGGCAGGAAAAAAAGGGGGGCTCGGCGGTGCATGCAAGACCCCCTTCCTCTCCCCGCCATTCAGCCTCGTCCAGCCCCCCCACCACCCCCATCACCCCCTCCTGGCTCCATGTCCTTGTTCATTGTTCTTCTCCCGTCCCCCTCCTCTGAATGTCTGGCTTGTCCCCAACTTGCGACATCCTTTGTCCTCGTTTTCTATGGAGAGGGACGGTTTCTCCCCCCCAAACACACACACACATGGCTCAGGCCGGGGAGGGGCTTGCTCCAAGCGTGGGAACTGGCCGGGCCAAGGTTACCAAAGACTGTTTGGCCAGTTGGCAAGCAGAGGAGCTGGAGTTTATCTACCTGCTTGTGCAAAAGAGACGGGGAAACAAAGGCACAACGGTGTGATAGGCCCGGTTGTTTTGAATCTACATGTTCTCCCCCCCCCCCACTCCTGTTCCATAACCTTGCAGTGGGGGGGGGGGCAAATGCAAGAGGGATTTAATGCAATGAAAGGAGTGTTGAGAAGTCTCCCCAGGTTCTAGGAAGACCAGGCTGGGTGGTGGCTTGAATCACGCACTTCCAAGGCGGGAGAAGGGTGCCTGCCATTTATTTCTTCGTGTTGTCACCTGGCACCTGGCCTTACCCTTCCTCTGGCCAAGAGCTGGCAGGATATCATTCAGAACAGATGTCGGAAGGGACCTTGGAGGTCTTCTAGTCCAACCCCCTGCTCAGGCAGGAAATCCTATACTGTTTCCGACAAACTCTTCTTAAAAACTCCAGTATTGGAGGAAGGAAGGAAGGAAGGAAGGAAGGAAGGAAGGAAGGAAGGAAGGAAGGAAGGAAGGAAGGATGGATAACAGAGCTGGAAGGGACCTTGGAGGTCTTCTAGTCCAACCCCCTGCTCAGGCAGGAAATCCTATACCATATCAAACTCATGGTTATCCAACATCTTCTTTAAAACCTCCAGTGTTGGAGCATTTACAATTTCTGGTGGCAAGTGGTTCCACTGATTAATTGTTCTCACTGTGGGGAAATTCCTCCTTAGTTCTAGGTTGCTTCTCTCCTTAGTTTCCCTCCATTGCTTCTTGTCATGTCTTCTTTGGAGAAGAAGCTTGACTTGATTCCAGCTGCTTCTCATTGATTGATTGATTGATCAGAATTTTATTCCACCGTTATCACTTTATAAGGAACTCCGGGCGGTGAACATGCCTAATAGTTATTCCTCATCCTGTATCTCGCACAACAACAACCCTGTGAGGTGGGTTGGGCTGAGAGGGAGTGACTGGCCCCAAATCAACCAGCTGGCTTTTGAGCCTAAGGAAGGACTAGAACTCCCACGTCTCCTTATGATTAGCCCAGAGTTACCCAGCCGGCTTTCCTACCTAAGGCAGAACTAGAACTCACTGTCTCCTGGTGATTGGCCCAAAGTCAAAACAACCTCTCACAGCAAACCAGTAGTAAATTGGTTAGGAACCCACCACTGGTGGTGCTCATCTCCGTTTCCAAGCCGAAGAGCCAGCGCTGTCCGAAGACGTCTCCGTGGTCATGTGGCCAGCATGACTCAACGCCGAAGGCGCACGGAACACTGTTCCCTTCCCACCAAAGGTGGTTCCTATTTTTCTACTTGCATTTTTTGCTAGGTTGGCAGAAGCTGGGACAAGTCACGGGAGCTCACTCCGTTACGCGGCGCTAGGGATTCGAACCGCTGAACTGNTCCTTACCCAATCTGATTGGGATTGTCTGAAACAGCTATAGAATTCTAGGCAGAATGTTCATTTTAATTGTAGAAATTCTTCCCATCATTGATAAGTGCAGATTTTCCCAGGTGGTTTGTGAGATGTTTTTGATGTACGTACGTTGGTTCTCCTGTATTGGTTTGAGTGGCAACTTTCTGATAAAGTTGCATGGATTTTCATTTTTTATACGTGATCCGTTTCCATTTGTTTGTTTGTTTGTTTGTTTGTTTGCTGTAATTTGTTGTTTGACCACAACTAAGATCAGCAATTAAGTGAAGCGGTCGCCAAGCAAAACCATTACTGTGCTTACAATCTTACTTCAGCTTTCCTTTTCTTTACACACCTACAAAGGACTGGTTGGAAAGTTGGTTTTTCCTCACCGACATAGCTATGAACAGTCACTAAACGAGACAGTCGCTAAGCGAAGACGACTTGTATAGGCAAATCCTCCGGATCCAGTCAACCTGCAGATTTGAGAGCTAAATTCCTGGTTTTGCTTGTTGCGATGTTGTGCTACCGCCTCTCCCGATCGGAGGATTTCAACTTCCTTCTCTTCCCTCCTAGCGGGATACTTCCATGAAAGTCCGTCGAATTTGACCTCGTCTTTGGGGAAGGACGTGAAGCTCACCTGCTCGGTCCTGGCCCTGGGCGAGGCACCGGAGATCAGCTGGCTGAAGGATGGTGAGGCCTTCGAAATTGCCAACATTAACCAGATCCAGGTGCCTTTGGACGAAGAAGAATGGATGACCACCAGCGAACTGAGGTGAGCATCTGGCAACTTGGCTGGCAGGGTTTTAATGGGCCAGTTTATTTGTTCGTTTGTTTTTACAAATAACTCAACGTGTTATATAAACATTTTAAAAAAATCAATGTCTACATAAACAGTGTGTGGTTTGGGTGCAGTTAATTTTGAGAAACAACAACAACAACAATAATAATATACACGGCATTAATAATGACCCCATAATAATAGTGGTGTTTGATTATCTATTTTAGCCAACCTTTCTAATATGATTAGTCATTCTTTTATGCTTTTAAATTTCTAACTTCTGTTTCTATTAGTTAGCCATTGATAAAACAAATCGCATGTTAACAAGTATTCGGTTTTTTCCTTCAGCCTTCAACCTTTGCAATTAATTATGGTTGGCGCTATAAATAAGATGTTTAGTATGAATTTGGTATTTTTATCCACCTGTCGAGAGTCCCTTCCAAGAACCCGAGATAAGCAGGTGTGGTTAAAGGTTATTGTCCAAGGATGTCAGCCTTTTCTTTCTCTCTCCAAAGTTTATTTATTTATGTATTAGTACAAATAAAAATAGTAGGAAGTGTGGGAAAAAGAAAAAAAAAGGCATGGACTTCCAACTTCCTTTGGTGCAGGAGAATAAAATGATAACATCCAACCAGAGGTGGGTTCCTATCAGTTCGCACCTATTCGGTAGAACCGGTTCGTCAAATCTACCGAACCGGTTAGAAGAGGTTCCACCAGTGGACCCGGAAAGCAGGCCACACCTACAGAAGAGGTTCCAAAACTTTCTGAAACCCACCACTGGCAAGGATCGTGTAACTTGACAGCTTTAAGACTTGCATGCTTCAATGCCAGAGTTTCTGAATAGCTACTTGGACCGACCTAAGTACTAATTCATAATTTCACATCCGGTCACATGGGTGGCAAGCCACTCCCACAAAGGAGGCCACACCCACAGAGTAGGTTCCAACAATTTTTGAAACCCACCACTGCATCCAACCTCAATTTTTTTTGCTTTTAGCTCACAGTATAAACTCACCATTTCTATAACAAGAAACCTGTCGGTAAAACACAAAATCAAAGTTTCATTTCCCACCCACCTCCCGCACCTCGAGCACAAAGTCCAGTAGAAGTTCCCAAATAGGAACGAAAAAAAAATGTTTATTTTTGTCTATAATGCAAGCCATCCATCTCTGCCAATTCCTGCAGCCATTCATCCACTGTGGGAGCCTTTTGCAATATTTTGATGGTGAATTTGTCGATGCCGATGGGGTACAAGTGGCATGCCAGATGTTTTGGCATTGCACCTAAGGGGCCAATTCTTTTTGGGACCATCTTGGCTTTCTTTGGCCCCAGTTGTTCTAATTCTATTTGCAGGTCTTCGTATTTTGGGATTTTTCTCCTTTTTTCCCCCCTTCTTCTGCTGTCTTCAGGCACTGCCACATCCACCATCCAAACATTTTTGTCCTTTTTCTGAACAATGAGGTGTTACGTGACTTTCTGTTTGAATTCTAAAGTCCCATTATTATTATTACTCTCGTAGCACCATGAGCTGAAATAGTACAGCTAATCCTATACTGAAGCCCAAAATTTCTGTGGGCTAAGCTAGTCAGTTGTTTTGCCCCATTTTGCGACCTTTCTCACCGCCGTTGTTAAGTGAATCGCTTCAGTGGCTAAGTTAGTAACACGGTTATGAAGTCAACCTGGCTTGGTTGGTCAGAAGGTCGCAAAAGGGGATCACGGGACCGTGGGACATGGCAAACCGTCATAAATGTGAGTCAGGTGTGAAGCATCCAAATGCAAAATCACGTTGCCACGGAGATGCCAAGTGTGAAAAATGGTCATAAAAGTCACTGTTTTCAGTGCTGTTGTAACTTCAGGCGGTCACTAAATAAATTGTTGTATGCCGAGAACTATCTGTATTTATTAAATTATTGAGTGTTATGTAAGGGGGCTAAGTGTTTGAATTCCGAAGTCCCATTTATTATTAATCCTAGTAGCATCATGAGCTAAAGTAATATTTGTTAAATTATGTTCCTTTAACCAGCATTTGAAGGTTGTTGAACCTTCATTAAAACAATCTAGGAAGTGAACCCCAGGCCAGTGGTGTCCGTGTAGCAAGAGGCCTTCGTCCTCATTTCTCCTCCTCAAAGGGAGGGCGGAGGCTGGGAGCGATGGGTTTTGAAGTCCAAGAGAATCCAAGAAGCCCAAGACCAGAGATGGCGGAGGCTGGGAGTGATGGGTTTTGAAATCCAAGGGAATCCAAGACCAAGAGATGGCCACTTTTGACCCAAAATAGAAGCCTCAGAGTCCTCTTAGCATGGGCAAAGTTGAGATGAAGCTTGGGTGATAGACTTCCTCCTCCACGTGAATGGGTTCTTCTCTTCCTCGTGGAAATGGGGGCTGGCTGGGGGACGGGGGGAGACGGGGCGTCTTGAAGTCTGCTAGCTGGTCCCAGATGGGTTAAGTTGACTCATGGGAAATATTGGTTCCAGTTGCTCAACAGCAGAACTGGGGAACTGCTGGGTGGAAGTCCATCTGGCTGGCGCCTTCTCCCTCACGTGGCTTTCTCCGGCTTTCTTGGACCCACAGGCCAAGTCACGTGGGGAACGGGACACTCACTCGAAGCCTGTAAGGCACGGGACCCCAAACTGGGCAACTTTAAGACTTGGGGACTTCAACTCCCAGAATTCTCCAGCCAGCATACGGACGTTTGGCCCTGTTTCCTCCCACCTCTCCCCTTGTGACCTCCCTCTTCTTGACCCAAGAGACAAGGATTGGGTTCTTCCAGCATCCTAAATTTTAATGGGTCTTCTTGTTTGGTTTGCAAGGGAGCATCACGGGTGAAGCTGGCCTATTGTGGTTTGTTCAGAAGCCTCCGTTTAGCATGACGCCTGAATTGACCATCTCTCTCTCTCTCTCTCTCTCTCATACTCTCATCTATCATCTCTCTCTCTCACACACACACACACAATCTCTCTTTTCTTTTTCTCTACCTCATCTATTTCTATATATCTTCTTTCTCTCTCTCACTTTCTATTATCTCTTCATATTTCTCTCTCTCACACACACTATCATCTATCATCTCTCTCTCTTCTTTCTCTCTCTCTCATCTATCCTCTTTCTCTCTCTTTCTCTCTCACTCCTCTCTATCATCTCTCTCTTTTTTTTCTCACTCTCTATCATCTCTCTCTTCTTTCTCTCCCTTATCTATCCTCTTTCTCTCTCACTCCTCTCTATCATCTATCATCTCTCTTTTTTTTCTCTCACTCTCTATCATCTCTCTCTTCTTTCTCTCTTTCTCTCATCTATCCTCTTTCTCTCTCTTTCTCTCTCACTCCTCTCTATCATCTCTCTCTTTTTTTTCTCACTCTCTATCATCTCTCTCTTCTTTCTCTCCCTTATCTATCCTCTTTCTCTCTCACTCCTCTCTATCATCTATCATCTCTCTTTTTTTCTCTCACTCTCTATCATCTCTCTCTTCTTTCTCTCTTTCTCTCATCTATCCTTTTTCTCTCTCTTTCTCTCTCACTCCTCTCTATCATCTCTCTCTTCTTTCTCTCTCTCCCTTATCTATCCTTCTCTCTCACTGCTCTCTATCATCTATCATCTCTCTTTTTTTTCTCTCACTCTCTATCATCTCTCTCTTCTTTCTCTCTTTCTCTCATCTATCCTCTCTTTCTCTCTCTTTCTCTCTCACTCCTCTCTATCATCTCTCTTTTTTCTCTCACTCTCTATCATCTCTCTTCTTTCTTTCTCTCATCTATCCTCTTTCTCTCTCTTTCCCTCTCACTCCTCTCTATCATCTATCATCTCTCTCTTTTTTTTCTCACTCTCTATCATCTCTCTCTTCTTTCTCTCTTTCTCTCATCTCTCATCTCTCTTCTTTCTCTCATCTCTCTCTCTCTTTCTCTCTCTCTCTCTCTCTCAAGCAATGCTTCCCCCAACGTTCCTCCATTAATGAATGCAAACCTCTTTATTCAAAGGAACTTCAAGTCAGCCCATTTAGTTTAGTGTTTTTTTTTACACCAGATCTTCTTTCTGACCCCCATGAGGGATAGAAACTTGAAAGCTAATAACTCACTCTAGGACATGTTAGCTTGGGGAGTTCTGGGAGTTGAAGGCTACGCGGTTTTCAGCTTCCCTGGGCGTTCATTTTTATTAAGGAGGTGGGCAAGTTGCCACCAGAAGTTGTGGGTGCCCGATCCCTGGAGGCTTTCAAGAAGAGATTAGATGGGCATTTGTCAAGAACGGTATAGGGGGCACAGGTGCCTTCGCCAGCTGCTCTTCTGGTTTCCAGCACGCACAAATGCTCTGGCCAGCTGGTGTTTGTGGGCACCAAAGCGCCGGAAAATGGCAAAAAACGAAGCCATTTTCTGGGGCTTTTTCAGGCCATTTTCAGATGCTCCGGTGCCCGCGAAGACCGTTACAAAAACAGCCTGAAAATGGCCCGAAAAACAGCTCTAATACGGCCCCCCAAACAGCTAAAAAACAGTGATGTGCGCACTGGCCAGCTGGTATTCTGGTTTCCAATGCTCGGGCGTGCGCACATGCAGACACATGGCTGCGCATTCCCGGTTTGAGCACTCGATGCCGAAAAAGTTCGCCATCGCTGGTATAGGGTCTCCTGTTTGAGCAAGGGGGTTGGGCTAGAAGACCTCCAAGGTCCCTTCCTCACTCTCTTATTCTGTTAAAAAAACAACGTTGCATCTTTTAAATTGACTTTGCCCATTCGTTATGTGGCATCAGCAAATCTGAGTTGTTGTTTTTGTAAAAACGTAAGTTTCTTTTCCATCATTTTCCTTTTCTTGCTTGCCGGGAGGTGGGTGGTGGTGGGGTGGGGGAGTTGGCTTTGCAAAGAATCAGGCTGGGACTCAGTTGTGATAAACAGCCATGGGGGGCAGGGGGGGGGAACCAATTTTGCTGAACAAAACAAAAAAAAATTGTTTAAAGGAAGTGGCCTGCTTGAGACAAAACTACCCCCCAAAGAAGCAGAATCGATTCTGCAAGTTTTCTCCGCTGACCTTGCAAGAGGGAAGAAGAGGCAGGGCAGGGAGGAAGCCGAAGTGGAAAGGACACTGATTTTAAGTGACTAAAAGGTTCCTGACCTTCTCTTGATGATAAACACTTAACTCCCCCACCGCAAAAATAAAACCTTGAAAACTTTCCCCCTAAGTCGATGAAAACTGCATCCTCCGAACTTTTAGTTCCGGTTGCATCAGACTGAGATTCTTTTGTTTTCCATCGGCTTTGCCAAAGCATTTGTGTCGGCGGCGGTGAGGCAAGGAAGGTCGAAAAAGTCAAGATGGCGCCACCGACAGGCAATCCAAATTTGTCCCCCCTTTTTTTGGACAAATGATTGCATCAAAGTCGCTTTGTTTTAAAAACAAGCTTGCCTGGAGGATGTTAGATCTCAAGAACATTTATTCCCTCCCTTTGCTAAAATTACGTTTTCATTCCTCTGGGTCTGGTCCCAAGGGTCTTGGAGACCCCTTTAAGTCTTGACAACACTGAATTGACAAGACTTAACAACCGTTTGACTGTTGTAAATCACGTCGGAGCTGAAAAAAGTGACGTACGACCCCGTATGGTGGCTGGGGAATTCTGGGTGTAGAAGTTAATATATTCTGACTAAGGAATTCTGGGAGTTGAAGTCCACGTAAGCAATCTAGAGGATTCTGGGTGTTGAAGGCCACATATGCTGACTAAGGAATTCTGGGAGTTGAAGTCCACGTAAGCAATCTAAGGAATTCTGGGTGTTGAAGGCCACATATGCTGACTAAGGAATTCTGGGTGTTGAAGTCCACATAAGCAATCTAGAGAATGCTGGGTGTTGAAAGCCACATACGCTGACTAAGGAATTCTGGGAGTTGAAGTCCACGTAAGCAATCTAGAGAATGCTGGGTGTTGAAGGCCACATACGCTGACTAAGGAATTCTGGGAGTTGAAGTCCATGCATTTTAAAGCTGCTAAGATTGAGAAGCATTGGCTTAATTTTGATAAACCAGCTCAGGCATGGATTTCCCATGCATCCAGTCTCGTGGACAACACAATCTATGCTCAAAACCGCTTTGCTGACCATTATCCTCATCTCTTCCACTCCCTCTCCCCATCTCCCCCCCCCCCACCTCTCTCTGCAGCATCTCTTCCCTCCAGCTCTCGGACATGGGAAATTACCAGTGTGTGGCCTCGGTGAATGGATCTAAATTGGTTTCCGAAGATGCTTACCTGCAGTTAGAAGGTAAGTGTAACATTAGGGCCAGTCACTCCCCCGTAGACACCTGGGGAGGCACAGCCATGCTCAGAAATTGAGCATCTTATTCACTGACGGCCTCAAGGAGCAAGCGGCGTAAATGGCCGGAGGTTTAATTCCCTTTTCAATAATGTACTTTTCACAAATATCCATTATTCCATTCCAGGCTTTTTAACGGGGCTACTAAATTGAGGGAAATTATCTAGGCACTATTTCTCAACTGCGGGAACTTGAAGATGAGTGGACTTCAACTCCCAGAATTCCCCAGCCAGCTTGGCTGGCTGGGGAATTCTGGGAGTTGAAGTCCACTCATCTTCAAGCCGCTAAGGTTGAAAAACACTTGATTCCTAGATAAGACTAAGCCAAGATGTTCTTGTTTGGATATTGTTGAACACAACATCCTGGTTTGGCACACACACACACACACACACTCTTCATCTTTGTTTCATGTGAACCAGCCCATCGTGGCTTTGCGTTGCCATCACGGCTTGTCCAAGAAATGGCGGTTTAGCGCCACATGTGAACCAGGGGTGGGTTGCTGCCGGCGTTACTGCCGGTGCGCTTCGCGTGCGCGCAACCTGCATTGCTTGTGCATTGCTTGCACATGTGCAGTTGCCTGTGAATTGTTCTGCACATGCGCAGAACATTATACACTGGCTAAAAACCATGCCGGCAATGGCATTGGTGACTGGGGAATTGGTCTTGGGGCGTGGCCAGCCTGCCGTCCCTACCATTCATCGACCCAGTCCCAATTTCCACTACCAGTTCGCCCAAATTAGCAACACACCTCGTTTGTTCACGCTGTTTCTCTTTTCTCTTGTGGCCAGGCCTCCCCTTTTTCTCCGAGGAGCCCCAAGATCTGGAGATCACAGCCGGTGCTGCGTTCAACCTCAGCTGTGCAGCCCAGGGACCCCCCGAACCCGTCTTGGTGATCTGGCTGCAGGACAGCGTTCCCCTGAACTCCTTGGCGGACCCCCTGGCAGAGACCCCGTCCGTCTTGCGGGTGAGAGGTGAGTCAGCTAAATGCCACGCCGGGTCCTTCTCTCTCGGAAACGGACACCTTTCGAGAGGCAGCAACTGCCGGGGGAAGGGTGGAGGCTGTCAGCCAGGAGAGCTGAGATGATGGCATCCATGCTCCACGGCAGCTGGCCCTGGAGTTACAACGAGGGTTTTTGGAGTGTGTGTGAGAAATTACAACCAGTGGTTAAAGGTTGGCGTTTGAATGGGGAACGATGGCTTGTTAGCAATTCCCCCCAATTCCCTTCCTTTCCCTTTCGTTCCTTCCTTCCTTCCTTCCTCTCCTCCCCTCCCCTTCCCTGACTTCCTTTCCTCTTTCTTTTCCCTTCCTTTTTCCTTTCCTTTCCTTTTCCCTTTTCTTTCCCTCCTTTTCTTTCCTTTCCTTTTCCTTTCCTTTTTCCTTTCCTTCCTTTCCTTTCCTTTCCTTTCCTTTTTCCTTTCTTTTTTCCTTTCCTTTTTTCTTTCCTTTTTCCTTTCATTTTTCCTTTCATTTTCTTTCTTTTCCTTTCCTTCCTTTCTTTTCCTTTTTCCTTTCTTTTTTTCCTTTCCTTTTTCCTTTCCTTTCCTTCCTTTCCTTTCCTTTTTCCTTTCCTTTTTCCTTTCTTTTTTCCTTTCCTTATTCCTTTCTTTTCCTTCCTTTCATTTTTCCTTTATTTTTTTCCTTTCCTTTTTCCTTTCCTTTTTCCTTTCCTTTTTCCTTTCATTTCCTTCCTTTTCCTTTCCTTCCTTTCTTTTCCTTTTTCCTTTCTTTTTTCCCTTTCCTTTCCTTCCTTTCCTTTATTTTTTTGTTTCCTTTCCTTCCTTTCCTTTATTTTTTTGTTTCCTTTCCTTCCTTTCCTTTCCTTTTTCCTTTCTTTTTTTCCTTTCTTTTTTTCCTTTCCTTTCCTTCCTTTCCTTTCTTTTTTCCTTTCCTTTTTCCTTTCCTTTCCTTCCTTTTCCTTTCCTTTTTTGTTTCCTTTCCTTCCTTTCTTTTCCTTTTTTCCTTTCCTTCCTTTCCTTTTTCCTTTCATTTCCTTCCTTTTCTTTTCCTTTCCTTTCCTTTTTTGTTTCCTTTCCTTCCTTTCTTTTCCTTTTTTCCTTTCCTTC